AGTGCTGTCTTCTTTGTCTCAGTGTCCATATTTCAGCGTACCCTTTTGGGTCCGGGGTTTGGGATGACGTTAGCAGCCAAGCCATTCAACCTGGAAAAACCGCTGAGGTTGAGAGGCAGGACGGCGTACTGTGTCCAAAAGTCCCGATTTTTTCTGTGAAAGATTCGCCAGCACCGAGTACTGTGTCCGAGTGTCCGTGTATTTTGCAAACCTTTCTTGTTCGGGAGCTCAGGATGACGTCAGCAGTCCTCCGAGTTGCAACCCGCTATGATTGAGAGCCTGCACTGCGTTCAGTGTCCAAGTGTCCGACTTCGTGCGAACCTTTTCTGTTCCGAAGCTAGAGATGACGTCAGCAATTATCCCTGGATTCCGCTGTAATTGAGAGCTTGCACCGTGTATCGTGTCCAAGTATCGCGCGTTTCTATGAACGTTTTGCCGGCTGCTCCCAGCAAGCGCTTCGTGGCGCCGCTCAATCTCCTCGATCAAGGTAAGGTCGCCTCCAAGAAGTCGGCGCACCTGGTCGGCCCCTTTCCTCCTCAGGTCCGAGGAGCGCCCCTCACCAACAAGCCAAGCAATCTCGATTAGCATGGCAGGGTCGGCCACCGGCGTCTCCTTGCCTTTTCCATTGATTCGGAGTTTCAAACACCGTGTTTGAAACTCGGGATACGTCTTGGAAAGTTGCTGCCAAGTCACTGCCAGCACTGCGTTTTGTGTCCAGGTGTCCGAGTTTTTTGCGAACCTTTCTGTTCCGAAGATCAAGTTGACGTCAGCAGTCATCCCAGCTGCAATCCGCTATACCTGCACTGCGTACTGTGTCCAAGTGTCCGAGTTTTTTGCGAACTTTTCTGTTCCGGAGATCAAGATGACGTCAGCAGCCATCCCAGTCATCCCGGCCATCCCACCTGACATCCGCTGCAGAAGCATAGGCTTGATTGAATGCACCAGCTTTGCATCCGACAAATTCGTTAAGCCCCAAAAGTGACACTTTTTCTTTGCGTTGCAGGATCTGGAACGACGGAAAGACCTGGTGGATGTGGGATGGGAAGCGCTTCAAGCAGGCTACTGTCGAGAGGGTCAAGTTCGTCTGCATCCACCAGCTCAGCACAGTTTATTCTCGACTCCGAGCAGAATTGAAGGAGCAACTAAGCGTAACTACCGACGAGGAGGAGAAGAAGGAGCTAAAGAGAGCTCTTGACAAAGTGAGACGATACTACGACGCTGGCGAGATCAGCTCGACCTTGACGATCATGACGGGGGAGATGGCCCTAGATCTGGTTGGGGAGCTGGACTCCAATCCAGACATCCTCAACGTCCAGAACGGGGTCATAAACCTGCGCACCGGCGAGCTGGACATCCACAGGCCGGAGTACCTGTGCACGAAGCTGGCTGACATCAACTACAAGGTGTTTTGTTTGCACGTTGTGGCTTGGTTCTGTCTTCATGCAATTTTCAGGATGGCATATCGTCGAAGTTCTGGTGCAGAAAAGAATCGTGAGAAAAAAATACTTGTTTGAGTTTCTCTTTCGTCCTTGCGATTGCTCCTTCTCAGGACAAGCATCCGTGCAAGTCACTTGGGGACCAACTTACCAGAAAGAGTCCAGACGTTTTGTGTTGAGGCTTAGCGCTCTATTTCTTGATTTTCGGTTCAGGTTGGCGTCTTTTCCCTCTAGTGCTAACCATCTTTCTGCCTGGTTTGTACATGCATCAGCGCAACACCTGAATCTGAAGGCAGGGCGTTGATGCTTCACGGCGTCTTTGTGCTTTCTTACGAGTCTTTGTGCTTGATTGCAATTGCGCTTGTCCGCGCGGCGTCTTTCAAAGGAGTCCCGGTTAGAGGCAGACGTTCTTTGACTCAAGGGATGCCAGTACGAATTCGACCGAACAGTCTAAATTGTTCTTTGCAGGGGCTAGGTCACTCGACGCCCATCGTCAAGGGCTTCTTGGATGACATCTTCAACGAGGACCGAGCGTTGATCGACTTCATGCAGAGGCTCTGGGGGTATGCCATCAAAGGACGTACCTCGGAGGAGATCATTGTGTTCTTACTCGGAAGCGGCGGTACGTCTTTCCCTCCTTTGGCTCCGATTGTCTTCGTCCAACTGCTCCTTTTATTCTTTCGGCCGTGTTTGTCAACTGAGATCGATGGCGCGAACGTGTCTTAGTATCCGAGTTTTGGACGCACGTTTCCAGGTCGACCCCTCTGCTGACGTGAGCAAAGTTTCCACAAAAATTCCCCTGTGACTGGTGGTGAGAAGATGCTTTAGTGTCCCCACTTTGTAACACACCTTCTGTGCATCCTTTTAAATTGTAGGTCCGAGTCCTAGGCTCAGCCTAGGACAATAGATTTCGACCCCC